ACAAACGAAAGAAGACGAAAGAATCAAACAAAAAATAAGAACACTATTACCAAAAACCTACTTCGAGGCAATGGAGGTTATCTAATTCACATCAACAGAGGAAAGAGGAATTGAAAACGCAAACGAGAAAGACAGAACAATTCAGGCAATAAGAGAAGCCTTAGAGGAAGGGAAAAAGGAGATGAAAGGAATTACTCTGGGTTTATGCCAATGGAAGGACAGAAATATGTGGTACGATGGAAAACAATGAATTCCGGAAGAAGAGAGGATAAGGACAGACATCATACGACAACACCATGATATCCAAACGGCAGGACACGGAGGAATAGCTAAAACTATGGAATTCATCACGAGGTCATTCTATTGGCCAGGACTGTGCGAAGATGTCAAAAGATATGTCAAAAACTGCGACATATGCCAAAGGACGAAAACTGCTAAACACGCACCATATGGGTTACTCAAATCAAACGAAGTTCCTGAACAATCATGGGAAACAATTACTATGGATTTCATCATGGACCTACCAGCATCGGGAAATTGCAATAGCATCCTGGTCGTGGTGGATCGTCTGACCAAAATGAGTCAGTTCATTCCAGTTAGAAAAGATATCAACACGAGAGATTTTATACAAACATTCTTCAGAGAGGTCTTTCGACTTCACGGCCTCCCAAAGAATATCATTACCAATCGAGGAACACTATTCACGTCGGGACTATGGAAGAAAGTAACCAGAGAAATGGGAATACAAAACACAATGAGCACAGCATTCCACCCACAAACTGATGAACAAACGAAATGGGTAAATGCGATACTCGAACAATATTTAAGGACTTACGTCAATTATCAACAAGATGATTGGTACAAGCTGCTATCTATGGCCGAATTTGCATACAACAATGGAAAGCAAGAGACAATCGGCACGACACCCTTCTTCGGAAATTACGGACAACATCCACAAAGTCAGACCACATATCATACGATTAATGATGTGATACCGGACAAAACCGATATGGGAAAACTACACGAAACATTACAATACAAAATGAGTCAAGCACAACAATGACAGAAGGAACAATACGATAAGCACCGAAGACCAGATCTGAACATACAACCAGGAAATATGGTATGGCTAATACTACGCAATTTCTATACAACGCGACCATCAAAGAAATTGAATTACAAGAAAATAGGACCATTCCAGATACTGGAAAAAGTGGGCAGTTGAGCTTATAAACTCGACCTTCCCCCCTCAATGTGAATACACAACACATTTCACATCTCACTCCTCGAATTATACAACGACAATAAGTTTCCTTTACAAGCACTTATTCCTCCCCCTTCGATCGAACTCGACAGAGAACCAGAATACGAGCTCGACGAAATAGTCGATTCCCTCTTCTTCCAGGGTCACCTCCAATACCGAGCCAAGTGGACAGCATATTCTCCCAAACACGATAAAACTTGGTTCTTTGCACACAACTTCGAAAATGCACAAGATGCCATCTCAACCTTCCACCAGCGATACCCAGGCAAGCTCTGTCCAGGTGACAATCACGTTCAACCTAGACAAAGGCGAGGGAAAGACTCCTGCGCCGTTACAGCAACACGAAGGCTAAGGTGATAGCCCCCGCCAAACCACATCCACTAGCCCCGAATACTCATTCATGGGGCCAACCGACAAAGAACTTAAGGAGAGGGAACAACAAGCACAGCATAATGCCATATCATGGACGGTATGCTACGATGACGGTTGCCAAACACACTTTGGTGACAAAGAAGGCTTGGGATGTTTTCCGAGAGAATGTCAAAAGCGTGGCCCACGCCCGGACCACATTCTGAAACATTGACAACAATGCTTCAGAAATGGGTACAGGATGCACAGGGCACAGAAAATCTCGGCGGGATTCTACCCGCAGAAGGATGGAAGCAGGAAAGTGTTGGAAGGAGAGGATGCCAGAAAGGCATGGGCCGCGAGGACACGGTCCAGGGAGGGAGGGGCCCAAAACTCCTCAGCAGATACGGAACCGGACGTTAGCACCCTACACAGGCAGATACGGGGACTCCAAGAACAACTTGGCCAAGCCGAGGCCACAATTTCAGCAAACGACAAAACGATCGTGGTACTAAGACAGCTGAACGATAATCAGCAGCACACGATCGAGATGGCAAATCTGACCCTAGAATCAGTAAGGGTCAGATGGAGGATGGCAGACAAAGAGTTCTACAAGCTGAGAAGGACCATGCGTTCGGCAGGACGGGAACTATTGTAACTGGGAGAAAAAGCCTGATAGGACTCAGGATTAGGAGGAGGGGAGCTAATGTCACGAAGGTAGCTTGGCATGGAAAAGGTTTTCACATGACACATGATTATAAGTCACAGGTATGTTGTTGTTTTGCGCATATAACTCATTCGGGTTATGCATGATTTGTTATGTGTGGGATTTGTGATGCTTTCGCACATGGCTCAAGTATGAGTCATGGGACGTGCGCTTGGCGAGTGTGCCTTGCGAGTGTGCCTCGCGGGTAAGCCTTGCGCATATGAATTATGTTTCGCACATGACCTCATTATGAGGTCATGGGCTTCACACATATGACTTAGTCGAGTCATATAACTTGTTTATTGTTATGATTTGGTTTCACACATGTGACCACTTTAGGTCACATGACTACGAGCGGGAAGAATACTATATAAGGAGGCCAAGTGTCACGAACATGGCTTAACGAGGAAAGGGTTTTCACGTGACGCATAGTTATGAGTCACAGGTATGTTATTGTTTCGCGCATAAGACCTATTCGGGTTATATGATTTATTATGTGTGGGATTTGTGATGCTTTCGCACATGGCTCAAGTATGAGTCATGGGACATGCGCTTGATGAGTATGCCTTACGAGTGTGCCTTACGGGTAAGCCTTGCGCATATGATTTATGTTTCGTACATGACCTCATTATGAAGTCATGGGTTTCACGCATATGACTCAGTCAAGTCATATGACTTGTTTATTGCGTTATGATTGGTTTATGAGTTTTGTACATGACCTCACTATGAGGTCATGGGTTTTGAGCATGTGATCACTTTAGTCATATGATTAGTTTGTTATGATTTAGTTTCGCACATGTGACCACTTTAGGTCACATGACTAAAGGCGGGAAGAACACTATATAAGGAGGCTGATGTGGCCGAGGAAGATAGGTTCTTCATGCTTTGTTCTAAGTACTTTTCCTACTTATTACTTTAACGAATATAAAACACCTTTACGATCTTTATCCTTATTGCAACGTTATCGTTATGCCAAGGAAGGCGCTTTACGAAGAAGAGGTAGAGAAAGCTTACAATAGGCGTTCCCGGTAGAAGACAAGGGTCTTGTACTATCGGTAACGTAGGCAGAGGCCTAGAGCTATCATAAGACAAAGGAAGAAGAAGACAGAAAGAGAAGTATCGTTCCCCATCGCCAAGCACTAACTATCCAGAGAGGGATCGTTACACCAAGGCGGTCGAAGAAGATAAGTTCTTCACGCTTTGTTCTAAGTACTTTTCCTACTTATTACTTTAACCAATATAAAAGACCTTTACAATCTTTATCTTTATTGCAATGTTATCGTTACGCTAAGGAAGGGTCTTTATGAAGACGAGTTAGAGAAAGCTTATGATAGGCGTTCCTGATAGAAGACAAAGGTCTTGTACTATCAGTAGCGTAGGCAGAGGCCTAAGGCTATTATAAGACAAAGAAAGAAGAAGACTCAACCGAGAAGTATCATTCCCCGTCACCAAGAACTAACTGTCCAAAGAGGGATCATTACAATAATATAAACAAATCATATGACTCAAGTGAGTCATATGTGTAAAACCCATAACTCATAATTGAGTCATGTGTAAAACATAATAAATTATAATATAATCAAATCATATAACTTAAGTGAGTCATATGCGCAAGTCTTATGACTCATAATCAAGTCATGTGCCAAATCCTGTCACATCTATGACATATATACTCATTCCAGTTCTACTAGATAATATTAATAATAATAATAAGTAGTATTTAGTATTTTCTTATAGAGACTCTTTAATAGCCTCTATATTTAAAAACCTGTAATAAACTGAAACCACATAAAGTATTTAGTAAAACTAACAGCAATACTAATAAAACAACAAAAAATATAAAGTGTAATATATGTTATTTAAAATCTGTATTCATAACATAATCTTTAAATTTCTATACTCTCCATAACTATTAAAGATATTTAGAAATATAAATCAAATATGAAAAATACATATAAGAACTTCTTCTCATAGGAGTTTTTTTCTTTTTTTGTACTGGTTGCATAGTTGTGATGGTTTTATAATTTTATAAATCATATTACAAGTTTATATTTTAAACACACAATATCATAAAAGCTTTCTTAAAGTGGAAGATATGTTCTCTAATATTACTTTAAGAGGAAAACAGAGTAGTATTAATTTAATAATAGTATACTATTATAATATTCAGTTATGACTAACAAATTATATTGCATCATAATACAATTTTCAAATTCTGATTTGAGTAAATGTGTCTACCTATTTACCACTCCATTTGATACTTGCATATACTCTTTATAATATTACCACCTGCTAGACTTTAAATCCTTAATAGGTCTAGTATTTGGTGCGCTCCTCAGAACTCCGGAACTATGTGGTATAACTGTACTCGTACATCATATGTACTGAGCAGTCGCGCCAAGGAGTGATATCTGATCTCATCAAAGGCCGCGATCTGATCATCTGATATGCCGTGCTCACCCGTACCCCCGTAGTATTTGCCATCACAACAGGATTTTGCTTGTGCGACTATCCATATCTTCTCCCTCAGACTTTCAACATTCACAACGCGCTCGAGCGTAGATCGAGGGGATACTAGTGAGATCAGGGTAAGATAGTTAGACGCCGCAAATGCCGAAAATAACCATGATCGAGTGATATCATGTGACATGAAAGTACAAAGTTTTTTTTTCCCTCCCATAATATGATAATAGCTCTCTTATCCTATTATAGCTAATGGTCTTATGACTTGAGCCAAGCGTCCCTCACTCAAAAGCCAGCCCAACTACAATCGCCTATCAGCGTAATATCACATCACGCATAGAAAAAAACTAGCTAGTAACAATCATCCGTCTGGTCAATATCGATTTCACCTTCGTCACTATCAATTTCTATAATGTCCCTCATTTGTTTGCCCCCCGGATCAGCCTTCTCCGAACCTTCGCCGTTTTCGGCAGTAGCCATAGGTGCATGCATATCCTCAGCATCCCAAGCCGCCATCCTGTTGACGAATTCATCCTGAAGCCTGTTCAACCACGGTTGGAGAGCATCTTCTTCCATGTTTCCGTCCCGGGCACGGATTAATGTTTCTTTAAGGGTAAGCACAAGATTTCTTCTTCTAGCGAGATTGGTGGCTTTTGATTTACGCATATTCTTCTCGTGCCTTCCAACGAGTACTTCCGATACGGCCGCGGCCCGATCCAGCACGCTCTGCGGTAACCCAACTAGTCTCGCCAAGGTTAAACCTAACACCAGCCATGTGAGCGCAATCCACAAAATGACTCGATATGATACAATACAAGGTGAAAGCGGGGAGGGGGCAAGATCGGGGCGATCATGTGCGGACCATAATTTTTATCCTCAACCGCCCCGTCAGTAACCTTGTAGAGCATCGTCATGGTATTCTCGTCTTCCATCTAATTTCGACAGAGTGAGCGATCCCCAGCATTTGGCAACCTTGATTGCGCGAGGGCCTCTTTATTTAATATCATCTTACCTGAACTCTCAAATGCAAATTAACTACACCCGCTCTTCTCGCAAGTATCCTCGCTAGATCCTTAAAATGTGTGGCGAACCACACCAAGGCCCTGCTTTCGATTAATGCTTCGCAAACAGCAACTGCAAGTGCCAAACCGTCTCGTGTGCTGGTCCCGCGCCCAAGCTCATCCATGATTACCAGGCTTCCCCTCTCAACATTGCCAAGGATGAAAGCGGTCTCCCGCATCTCCGACGCAAAAGTAGAAGCATTAGCCTCAATTCCGTCGTCCATCGAGACACGAGCGAAGAGACGCCGAGTTATAGGGAATGAGGCATACTGTGCCGGGACACTTGATATCACAGAATGAGCCACCAATCACCATCGCCGGCCACCCCCACCCCGAAGCCTCAAGCTTCCCCGAGAACAGCAACCAGAGGCACTTACAATGACCCTATTTGCGCAATAACCGCGGTGAGAGCAATTGACCGAAGATAGGTCGACTGAGCGGTCAGCGCCGCCAAAACCTGCCGTGCAAATGAAACTAGAGCATACCTTCCCCGCCATATTGCATCCTAGCAAATCAGACATTAGATACATTAGATCCCCGAGCCGTTAATTGCTCTGTGTAATACGGGTGGCCCAACAGAACTAACCAGTGATTATCTGAAACCTGTCATCGGCTTCCCGTCAGTCTAGTATGAAATCAGTTCCTTCCCAGAAGATTTTTACCTAGATTGTTGACTTGCATACACGTCATTGGGGAAAAATTGATCCTTGTGTATCTTTTCATGAATGGGGTGACGTCCAGCTTTCAGAGCTAGTGTATCAGCGAACTCTGGGCGAACTATAACACCATTAGATGTCCCCCACGCGTTGCTTTCCAGGGAGAGCTGAACTGCCGGTCAGCATTAGGCAACATTACCGTAGTCTTGAATAGTGCAGAGTTGGGCAAAGGACAGAATCTGCGCAAATGATCATCAGTTTCAGTGCGGCGGGGTCACCTTCGCCCACCATAACCAATACACACCATGTCGAGAACAGCAATTCCCTCCGCCACCCTGTAAAGTGCCGGTACCTCCTTTCTAATGTCCTCGACCAATTTCTGAACGGAGTTGTCGCCTAGAGACAGAATTTTAGAATCTCTGACTGAGCGATTTCAGAGGAAAGTGAGTCTACTCATAAGCACTACTTCCGCCAAAGAATCACTGATCTATTGTCGTAGTTAGACCTTAATAACCGAATACGAAGCACATGCACAACGCGAGGCGTTTCTAACCCAATTCCTCCTGCTCGCATTGAGGAAGATGTAGTCATTTTTTTCAGTAGGGATGGTATTTACCTTCGCGTTGCACTTTAGCATCTCCAGCGCACTAAACTCCACAATTTTTTTTCTCTTTACCACGTTCACAAAGACTGGGGGAAGTGGTTTATCCTCAATTTCGGACGCGGGGAGGCGCAAATAGTAGCCTCTCCCAGTCTCGAATTTCAGCTCTAGAGGCAGATCATACTCTTTAGATATGTCTTCGACCAATTGGTGCATGTCCTCGGTGACTTCCTTGTAAACCTGCCTAGCAACATCAAGTAATCCGTTCACACCACTCTTTCCCAGACCCCCAAACAAAGTTAGCAGTTGCCGATAACATACTGGCAATCCAATGCGTCAAACACGACAGACCTTTACCGCATAGCATCTCTGGTTACGAAGGTCCAATGGACTCTTGGAAAAGACCACATCTTCGTTTATAATACTGCTGATCAGGTTCTGGACCGGTTCGATCTGGTCTGAATCACAAAGCTGGAGAGGTATTTGTCAACACAGCTGTCATGTAGTGTCCGGAAGACATAATATACATTACGAATGGAAACTAGCAGCCAGCTTCTGGCAGAGCCAAGGCTATCGTAGACCGGCGCAATGGACGATAGCGATTGCTTCAGTATGATGATATTGTTGATCGCCTGCTCAGAGTGTTTCAAACTAGGTTTGACCGGCATGGTGATAAGCTGTGATGGTCAGTTCACGTACTGGTGATCCGAAGCCCGAAAGGGAAAAGGAAGGGAAAAAAATCCTGCCAAGCAATACCGCAGTGAGAAGTCTGTCCATGTCAAGAAATGGTTTCAATGCCTGTCTTGCTTGGGAAAACATCTCCTCGTGTTGGGTAAACTCCTCTACGGCATCAAGCCTTGCATTTAGTGTGGAGAGGTCGGTCAGAGGCTGCAGAATGCTGGCCCGAAGCAGCCGCGCTCCCATGGCTGTGAGGGTATTATCCAATAGCCCGAAAAGGCACTCAGTAGACTTTGGGTCCTGGATATTCTGTATGAGCTCAAGACTGTGGACCGTACTGAAATCAATCAGCATCGAGCCTACCAATCATAGTCAGCCGGACAAAACATGCCTCGGAAACCAAAGATCAAATAATAATGCAAATATCAGTACAACAAAGACAAACCTTCACTTCCTTGGTATTTGATTCTCAGGGAATGCAAGGCGAATCTTATGTAAGAAACCTCGATATGTTTCAATGCCGCCGCCGCAGCAGATATAGCATAGAACTTCCCAGAAATGGCAACCTTGATGCCGGTGACCTCATCTGGGAAAGCCAATTGCTGGATATAATCATGACCACTCCGTTCATTGAAGTATCTCCTGGGAACTTCCGTGATCGTCGCACCAGGAACATAATCCTCAATAATAGACAAAAGAGTCGATTTTGGAGGCGCAACAGCAGCGGGAGAAACAAGAATCTAAACATGATGTAATCATAGTAAACGACATTATACATGATAGAAGCTGGACAGTGAAAAGTGGAAAACATAATACAATAAACGGCTGGTGCCACGATAAATATGGTGCGTTCTTTCAACTTACCTCAGTCGGGTCAAACACAGTCAATTTCTGCATTGTCCTGACATATGTTTGTGTATCACAGATCTCACTCAATACGCATTCACCTATCAATAGTTAGCAAGAACACAAAATGTTTTCCTAACTTTATCATTAATTCACCAGTAGCAGTATTCACAAAGCACAACCCGATGGTAGCCGATACTCCACGAGACTCCGTAACAGCACAAACAACCTGCTGAGCTCCCCCTCCAGCTGCAGAGGTAGCAGTCCTTGGTCGCGAAGTTCTAGGACGACTGGTTGACGTAGGAGGGCAAGAGGTTCCCGAAGAACTCGTTGAGGGTCTAGGCATTTTGTTTGAAGAAGAGGGGGAGAAAAAAATAGTGGAATTGAAGGTTGAAAATTGCTTTGGCTTTCCCAATTTGGGTTTTGAGGGTTCTCGAGGGTTTTCAATTTTCTGGGCTTCTGGCATATGACGCGGCTAGACAAGCATTTGCCCGGAGATCTTTCTCGGCAATTTATCTTATCTCTTGGCATTGGTATTATCATAGTATGATTCGACAGATCTCTTTGGGTTTGTTTTCCATTCTACCGTAAGCCTCGCTTAATGTCACAACGCAACATCAAACATCCACCAAGCTTCACCAACGCTATTCTCATCGTCACCTCCACTTTAGCATACCCACAACCACAATCACAGCTACACAGTCCTCGCCATGTCTGAGCGAAAGGTCCTTCAGAAATAGTGAGTCCCTGTTCAATAGCACAACACATTGCCACACAAGTTTACTAACACCTCCAAATCAGCTATCCCCCAGACTTCGATCCCTCAAAGATCGTCCGCCACAAGGGCCCAAAGCCAACAGGGCCAAAGCAACAAACTGTCCGCCTGATGGCACCTTTCAGCATGAAATGTCTAAACTGTGGAGAGTTCATCTACAAGGGCCGTAAATTCAACGCCCGGAAGGAGCACTCTGGAGAGAGTAAGTCAGACAACGATGTGTAATATCAACATATTGTTACCAGTAGCAGAGGAATGGCTGACTAGTCAATGATGACAGAATACTACAACATCTCCATCTTCCGGTTCTACATCCGCTGCACCAGATGCTCGTCAGAAATCACCTTCAAGACGGACCCGAAGAACATGGACTACACATGCGAGAAAGGTGCCATCCGTAACTTCGAGCCGTGGAGGGACACCCGGGAGAAAGACGAGACGGAAGAAGAACGTTTAAACCGACTAGAAGAGGAGGAGAACGAGAGCGCCATGGCGAAGCTAGAGACCAAGACTCTTGACTCGAAGCGTGAAATGCAGATTGCCGATGCCTTGGACGAGATCAGGACAAGGAATGCCCGGAACGAGCGATTCGACTCGGCAGATGTACTGGACACGCTACTAGAGGTTCCGGATCCGGCGGAATTAGAGTTGATGAGGCAGGAGGAGGAGGATGCCGAGCTTGCTAGGAAGGCGTTCAGGACGGAGGAGGACAAGTTTGTTCGGAGGGTGGTGGATGACGGTGCGGATGGGACGGACCCCCCAAAAGAGGGAGTCAAGGCTGACATCCCGTCTTTCAAAAAGACCGTCAAGAGGAGACGGGACATGGGCACTGCGCTGGGCATAAAGAAGAAGCTCAAGCCACTTGTATAACATATTGAAAGCACATAGTTAATTTGCATTGTATGATACTCCCAATCTTACCCCAATACACCACTTCATCCATAAACTTGGGCACCTATCCGTATCCCTTGTCTCGTGTCCCCAAACCCCACTAATCCGATGGCCCAAATTAGACCCTAGGTAGACTACACTGGAGTACTCGTAGCCCTAAACAAACGACAATTAAATATTTTATGATGTGATAATTGTGATTATACCATAACCAATGTGCTAGAAAGCATATGATAAGATGACTGGATAATCTTCGACCCTTATCTCCCGGGAAGAGATTGAAGATAAAGATATAAGGAGAAAAAAATCCAGGGGATATATATAAGCGGGAGAAGAGGGATATAAAAGCTACCGTACTAGAAACATGCAATGGATAGTGTGGACCAAACGTGGGAGGGGGAAATGAAAAAACGGACTATCGGCAAACAAAAAACCTAATGACATGAAATAGGTGGAAATGGAAACAAACAGAGGGGAAAAAACGAGAAAAAAATGGTAAAACATAGGAAAAAACGGTCGGTATCATGGAACACGACGAATTAAGAAAAAGTAAAGGCAACAAAAAGCCATACATCATCCAATTAAAATATAAACCCTCCGAAAACTCACTCACTCCGGGAACAGATGCCCAAATCCAAATATCCTTTTCAAAGAGATACTGTTTTTTTTCTTCTTCTCCTTTCCAGACTCAACTCTCCACTTTCTTAAATCTCAATTCGAGCCTCAGCTTTGGCTCAAACTTCAGGGCCATCACCTTTATCACGGCGTATCGGGATTTTGATACCTAACCATCCGATGTTAGCAAATGGGAACAAAGGCCCCTAAAATAAAATAAGTTTTACCTTGGGTCGCAAAACACTTGCTGAGACCTGTGCTCTCAATTACACCAGGAAACTTTTTCGCGCTGAAGACATGGAAAACGTCTGAGAAAGCGCTTGCTAGAACGGGAGCCGAACCAGTGTTGAGCCCACCACCATCCACTCGCCCTACGTTAACAAAATTCATCTTCAATCTATGCATGTTTTAGTGTAAATCCTAAAACCACCGGGTGGTGAAACCATTGCGGGCAGAAATCTTACCTGAACGCGCCTTCGGTTCTGACGGATAGATCCTGTAAAATGAACCACACACCAATCTTATTGTCCGGGTCAGTTAGTTTAAATGCGCTGGCACTCAAACTCCCGATCAGGTTTCTCGTGAACATGCCTGAGGGCGTCTGCTGGGGGGGCTGCTGTTGTGGCGGTGGAGGGCCATGCATGCCCTGATAGTAGCCCTGGGCACCGGGGGGTTGATAGTAATTTTGCTGTTGGGGGGGTGGTGGTGGTGCGTGCGAAGGCACAGGATGATAGCCCGGATACGGGCCGGGTGCCTGCTGATGTTGCAATTGTTGCGGAGGTGGAGGAGGGTAGCCTTGGTGCTGCAGCTGCTGTTGGTGAGCGGGAATGTGGTGCACATGGGCCGGGGGATGGGGATGAAGCGGTGGGGTAGGGGGCGGCGGGGGATATGATGAAGAAGTCGCAGCCGAGATCGAGGGGGAGGTGGCAGAATGTCGGACGAGATTGACCTCGCGGGATGCATCCGCAGACCACAGATCTACTGTCAAGACGTAGAAGGAAGTGTCTACCTCACTAATTTACCACAGACGTTTAGTCGGGAAGTTGCATAATGGGGGAAGAAACGGCATCTATTAACTTACTTGATATCAACCTCCTTGCCGGTAGTCGCGTCTTTCACTACTAGTCTCACGCAAGGTGGAGGAGTAATTGGCCGTCGGTCCTGCGGAAACCCGTCAGCACGTGGTGTTTCTAACGTCACGAGAGAAATGGAATCCTTTAGGAATTATATATCGCACCTTATCACCAAAGCCACACATCCTTGCTCTGATGGGCTGCTGCTTGACTTCTAAGCTGTAGATACGATTTCCATCGCCTCTGCATGATTGGGAGGGAGGTTGCTGAAGACTTTGAATTAGTCCATTGTTTGCTGGCGGGGCTGACTGCGAGGAGGATGAGGACGATGGCGCCCGGGCCATTGGCAGAGCTGGGGGGATAGCATGGCGTTCGTGAATTGGTTGATTCGAGTGATTTGGTTGTGCGAGGTACATCGTGTTCATAGACACCGCGTAGGGGAAGGGGGCTCTCAAAGGGTAGAAGATCAAAGGTCGAGGAAGGCCGGAGGTATTTGAGCTCTTAAAAACCCCAGCCACACCAGAAGAACCAGGAGGATGGGGGGAGCACTGGCACTGCAGGCAGTGAAAGTGGTGTAGGATGCTAGGGTTTAGAAAGCCGAGACTGAAACCAAAGTTTGGCTTCCTCTCCTCTGTACCTATCGTCTATGGACGGGGGGGGGGGGGGGGGGTGGATAGCTGATGAATTATTATATTTTTATTTATTTTTTTCCTTTTCGCTTTTCTTCTTCTTCCTTTCCCTTTCCGTTTTTTCCTTTTCAACGTGCTATCCGTCTGTGTTGGAACTTGGAAGCCCGGATCTTTTATAAAGTTGCCGCTGGGGAGATCTCTGTGCTAAAGCACCCCTTTTTGTACTACTCGGATTTTCTCGGTCTGCTGACTGGCGGCAGATGGTGAACTTGCAAGATAACCACAACCACTAGCTAGCTAGAGAGCAAGACGCTAGGCGCAGGAGAGACCAGAAAAGTGAGAAGAGTGGGGCCAGTACTGTTGTGGTTTTAAAAAAGAAGCAAAGCCAAATGACTGTATTAGTAGTTTTTTTGCTAACGGTAATTATGATGATAGGCTATGATGGTGGTTATGTAGAGTGGGTTATGAAGGTGGAGAGGTGATTAAGGTACTGCTGATTGACTGGGATGGAAGGTGAGGGACGATATGCGAGAAGGCAGAATTGGAATTGGAAGGAGGATCTATGAGCGGGAGGAGCAAATAACTGCTAGTGGAAGTAGCGGGAGTGGGGCAGGAAGCAGGATGATGGTGATGATGATGATGGAATCACAACCACAGCACAACGCATGGAGGGGGTCCGATTGAGGACTGGGAGGGAGGAAGAACTGAGGGTGGAAGAGTCAAGCGGGCATGTGGATGTTGAGGAGAACTTACAAGCAGACAACCCGAATCTTCTGCATATGCAATTTAGCGGCCTAAACAGCACCAAGCGGATTGACACGTTTGACACGGAGGGACTATTAAGTATCATACCTTGGGTCGATGATGTTTGACAGATCGGTATCGATTTGGTTGGATATCGACAAAGAAAGGAAAGAAAAAAAAGTAAAAAAAAAGGGTAAGGGGGAACGGAATTGGAAGGCAGAGTTTTTTTAGAAAAATAGAAAAAAGGAATAAGGCTGCACAGCGACTCTTTGCACCACACCGTATTGTTGGGCCACGAGGGAAGACAACAATAAATTATTACTATTATTATTATTATTATTATTATTATTATTATTATTATAGTGGGGCGGGGAGGGGTGGGAGAGTGGCGGCGATTAAAGTTGACACAAAAGAAAAGAAAAGAGGTGCTTCCGGGGGCCAGGATCAGTTTCTAGGAAACAGATCCACTAGACTAGATGGAACCTCGGGGTGGATCGTCTGCTCTTTGCATACATTACTCCTAATGCACGTCCATGATACCTGCGCGGACAACCCAAATAGATAAATGACAACCCCACCCGATTGCAAAACTCAATTCCCGAGGAAGGAGAGGGCAAAAACGCTCACCATAAATGAGATTCCCGGCACGAGTGGTACAACAACCCAAGCCGCAAACCCTGTGGGCAGATATATGGTGCATAGGATAATGTAAGTGCCATGATACTATACCTATACCATACGGTGGGAACTTTTTCCAACTATCCTACATAATCCACATCCGGCACATGAGGGAGTCGCCGATAGCGGTTGGTTCAGGAGCAAGGAAGAGAAGAGGACCAAAGGAAGAAGGGGGAGAGAGGAAATAAAAAAGAGCGAATATTGACACTTGTATCATACAATATCATCCAAGCGCTACGTAGGGTACAGTGGTACGTTTCGTGCACGATACCGTAGCATGCGTGCTGTACTAGTACTGTGCAACAGGCAGTTTTTGGAGATAAGGTAAGTGTATATGGAAATCAGTCAAAGGTGGGAAAACCATTCCGACTCCAATCGAGTTGAACCTCACCATCTTTTCCCTCTTCCCATGCGAGGACAACGGCACTCGGCCAAAATCAGACATCCTTCAATTGCACATGCCGCGGAAGTGGCAATCAGACAAAAAAAAAAGGAAAAAGGAAAAAAGGCTAAATTTCTAAATTAGAGATAAAAATAAGTGAAAAATCCCCCAGCGCGTATTGAAGTGGGGTAGTGAACAAGTGAAAGGAAGTAGTGACCTCTACGGTAGTTAGATATGTACAGTGCGTAGAGCAGGTAAGGCATCAACCGGTTTCTTTGATATACCCACCTAGCAATAAGCTAGATAACTACTACTACTACACGGGTGAGCCTTAGAACCTACTTGTCCCGTGTAAGGAGTGCCTGAAAACAGGAATTAAAGAAATGCGACGTTATAGTATCATAAAAAAATAAAAAATAAAAAGTGCTTATCTGGGCGCCAATTCAAAAATTTTAACCCCCCAGGTTTCCGGGTACTTCTCGCCAGGAACGAGTGCCACAAGAGGGTCCTTCGTCTGTTCAAGTTTCACACACCCTTAAGTTAGCACATAGTCTACTCGAGTGAATGATGCTCTCAGCAAGCAGAAGCTAGACCCACGAGGGTATCAATCCAGCACTCTAATGGTGACCTAAGCAATTGAAGCAGTACGATAGCAACGAAGGAAGTGAGCTATGGTTTAGGAAGTAGGGTACTGTACTTAGTCCTTAACGGGTATGGATGCGAGCGCTTGAAAAGGTAAAAAAAAAGGGATGGAGTTCATAGAGCGAATCCGAACAGCTCTTCAGTGGAATGTGAAGCCACTAGTAGCAAATCCACACCTGCCCCACATCACAGCTACGGTAGTCCATGAGTAGCGTTAAACATCAACGCGAATATTAGGCAGTTACTGCCCAAAAAGCGCTTGTAACCCTAACTAGAGAGCAACACAGCTGCAACCACATATCTGGGACATTTTTGACTAACCCACCTTCGACGCCTCGACCACTACTACTCGTATACTGATAGTACAGTACAGTACTTGTGCGTGTACAGGTACTGTACCATTGCACTGTGCGGACACCCTTACTCGTGCACCGCACTCCACCAACCTAGCGCTACAAGCATCCCCCCCTCTTCCCTCCCAATAATCGGCGGGGGTATTTTTTTTATTTTTTACCCGCAAGCTCCGCTTGCTTTAGAGAGTAGTTCGCTTAACCGTCACCATGTGAGGTGCCAATTGCCCCCATTGCCTAACAAACCTACCCATCAGTCGTGGGCCGGGTAGGCCGAATGGAAGCGGAAATGAAAAACGAAAAATGAAAAAAATGCGGAGATTGATAGGTCGTGACTGAGCATTAAATTTACGGTACGGCAGTCTTATCGAGAAAAAGACAAGCGGAATGACGGGGCATGATCAACCTACCAGCAAAATTGACCATACTCAAGCGCCCTTCGCAACACTTCTGAGAAGAGTAGATTCCGAGCATCTGAAAACCCCCAGAAGCAGCAAATCGTCCCAACCCCCGAACGGCGGATCGGCCGATGTGGGTTGTTGAATGTCTTCACCCGGACTCCAAGAGCTAGAGGGGGGGTGCCTTACGAGTACCATACCGGTACTCGAGCACTTTACTATCTTCTTTGATGAGAGGGAAAGAAAGGGTGGGTAAGTTGGTGGTATGGCATAATGGTTGAAACGAGTGGGAAAGTATCATACTGTGTGTGTGTGCTGAGAGACGTTCTCTTGTCCCTAGAGCTTACAAGAGTTCAGCCGGAGTTCAGACATGGGTGGGATATTTGTTGATGTGGTACAGTTTGCCAGACCAAAGAAAGAAACCCATTACCGGTATGGTATCCAACCTTCAAGGCAACTAACAATCAGGGACGCTCTCTTCTGAGCTTCACCGGAATAACGTTTATTCTTTATGGGTTCTATCATAACATCCATCCCCCCCCTGCTCCCCAGCTGAAACAGTGTTGATAATATTATTTCCCTAAAAAAAAAACCGCGCAGCAAATCTCAAGTGACAAATACTATGATATCGCATCCTCATCCCCCTCCACACATCTTTCCAATTCCTCCTTTAGCATGATTGTCTGAGCTCGATCCCTGGGATTTCCGAGTTTCCCTCTCGTGGAGCGCCCGCACGCTCAGAGGCCAATCAGGGAAATTTCGTTTCGTTTCCTAAGCTCTGGTTCCCACCCGAAGCGCCGCTGGTATCAAGGCCCAATTTCCGCTCCACCGCTGATAAAAAGGAAAGCGCATGCGGAAAAACGAGGGGGGTTTATTCGTTTCTTTTCAAGCTCCACCACCCCCAATGGCGGGTCGTTTTTAAATGTTTGTTTTCCTGTCTTGCAGTGTGACCCGTGAGGGAGCAGTCTTCGTAGAGACAGAAAGCGAGGAACTGAATTGTGCAAGTCAACTCAATCTAAGGTCAAGGTATAACTCTAAATAACTTACCGTGCCCCCTGGCATATTCCACCCATCGTTTATAGAATTTCCTTACTACAAGAGGTGCAGCACAACTTCTTGCATCATCCTGGAATAGTCTACTCGTACCGTACCGGTACAGACGCCCACCTTTCAAGGCCGGTCCCCTCTCCCCACAAATCAGCTTTGGGTGAAAGAGAATAGAAAAAAGCCTCAACCTCTCTGTTGCCCCGCCGCTTTTTCAATGGCACCTCCCCTACATAATAATACAAGTATTATTATATTACCCACAGAACAAAACCTGTTCCTGCTCTCAGCGGCAAAATACTATTCTTCCATCAATAACTCTCATAACGCCACAGTAAAGTACCTACGAGTAGTCTACTCAAGCTACAGATGCTGGTAGCCCAAATATCTTACGATACAGTATCCCTCCCTCCCTCAACCTCATCACTCTCGGGTAAATTAAGCGCAACAGCCTGCAATACTCGTACCGTATTGGGAATTGCAATCTCGTAACGAAGTCACGTGAGTTATTTGTTTTCACAAGATGAATTTTGGTGTGGTGTTCGGAAACAGCACCACCGAAAGAAGAGGGCTGGATTTACTCGAGTACGGCACCCCCGATGACATTCGGTGGGGCGGGGGGGGGGAGTGAAGTCGGTTCCCGGGTTTTCGGTCGGTACGGAAGGTCGGTCCAAGCGAGAATCGCCTAAGGCGGCTTTTCGTGGGTGGACATACGTCATTTGCTAAAGCCACGATAAGGGTGATAAATTATGGAGCCGGAAACATCGTCCCGACAGAGCGGCTGGGTGGGTGGGTATACTGTAGGTGTGATGCAGGTCTGTGCGAGTTACTACACTTAGCTGGATGGTGGGGGCAAGGTGGTGGTAGTGGTGGTGGAAATGGCGGAAGTGCTTATGTAGCGGTGGGGGGAATCAATCCCCGGGGATTGGGAACGGGGACGGTTCCGGGTGTGGTGTGGTCGACCGGAACGTGTGGTGGTGTGGGCGATTTAGAGTGGTGGGAAATGGAAATAAGCACGAGTGATAGTTTGTGCTGTGTGTGAGATTTAAGGTTCGTAGCCCCACTCATAGGCGATGGGAGTTGGGTGGAGGAGAGCAACTCCGTGGAATACGATGGCTTGGAGGTGACCCAGTTCCATTACACCGGTTTAGCGGTCGTTCCTTCGACCTGCTAACCCCCCAGCCTCATTGATGCGCGTCTGCTCGGGTGGTTTTGTGATAGGGTAGGATTGAGCGCATCTCTAAGCTGGGTGTGCGTGCGCACGTCCAACGCCCGTTCCAGAATCATGGGCCCGCAGGCACCGAGGACCTCTGCTGTCAGTCCCAACACCCTTCATCCGTAGACGAAGATTTGCATCAAGAGAACAATTACGCCGTGTTTTTTTTGGGCCCAGCTGGTGGAAAAGGGGCCCACAATGGCGCTGGTGATTGGAAGTGGTCCGTGTCCCGAAATTCTTCAACGAATTAGATGATCCACACGGTCCTCGTACTTGCAGTAGTTACAAGGAACTAGTAGTTACAAGGAACATGGCTGCCGTTGGGTTGAGTTCAATCCTACTTGTATTTACCAGACGATAGTGTGGAAGCATTAGACATTATTGCTGCCAGTCCGGGCACAGCACCGTGGTCGAACTTGGGGGAAACCCCTAATTCCTGGCCATTATGCTGGCATCGGCCATTCCCAACCTCCCGGTGTCGGGAGGTGTCAAGATAGAAGGTATCATATATACTCGAGTACATAGGAGCACTATTAGGATGAGTGGGTGTTTGGTAACTAAGCGCATGCGGTGTTGCAGTTTGCATCGTAGAAATGATTCCCGAACAACGAATGTCCTTGCAATACGGCCAGAAGACATGTGATACCCTCGTCAGCACATTTTTTCCGCTCCTGTTTGTCCATTGGTACATGTACTCGAGTGCTAGCACGAATCGAGAACCCCTTGCTCACTGACGGAATCTTCCATTCTACAGAAACCCGCCTACACCAGGCATCATGACACCTGCCAACTCTATCCTCCGTTTCTTTCGCATCGGGGAATTCTCGTATTCTTGTTCAGGATAACAGAGCTAAGTCAACTATGGCTTGGACTCATATCATACAGTACTAGTACTTGTGTCATTCTACTCGTACTGTAGAGTGCCACTTCATGCGGGTCCATACTGATTGTCTTTTTCACCTCCAAGAGGGTACACGCACCCTTGCTGGGCATATGATAGGAGTGTGGAGCTGTATCGCTAATTACTCGAGTTCAAGTTACCGGCAAGTAGAACCTGAACATTTGTGTCTGAAGCTCCGGGTAGTATGGGCGCTCAGATACGCACAGACAATTTCCCATACAAGTACTCGTACCGTACTCGAGTACAAAATTTTGATCCCTGTGTCCAGGTCCTCCTTGCCGGTAGCCTACAGAACCAGTTATACAAAGCACCGGGGATTTATTCCATCATACAAACTCGCTCATGCAATCGTTGAGGAATATGTGGCTGCATGCAAGAACACCGCACTGGGCACTATGGGTAGAGTTTAATATATCTAGGCGATGCCTTCTCTTGGTGCCTTGGACAGCTGAAGCGCGCCGGGCGATGAGGGGCTTGATGGTGCAAGAGTTGGTTTGCCACTGGCCTCTCGTATCGCGCACCTACTCGGGTATTATTATCATTTTTTATATTTATCATATATTCATTGTTACACCTACTCGAATATCATACTTGAGTAAGTTATGATAGCTGCTCCACCTCACCTCGAGAAAACCTTTTCAGTACCAGCGGATCTCAGACCGCCCCTACGAGTATCACCATCCAACTTTTTGGTGCCAACGAATACCGGTACTTAGTGTCCCCGTGAACAAACCCCAATAGGTTAGAACGGGCTGGGATTATAGAAAACCAAGGGCCGAAATAAGTAGAGGACGAATACGGTACTCGTGGCGAGTGTGACTGTGCCACAGCAAACCAGTTACCAAAACTTAATGGCCAGATTCTAGACTACCTGCACATATTTACACCCAGAATCATACAATCACATCAGTGGGGAGGCGGTGGAGAGTGCACAGCGTGTGAGCAGATATTAAGACCGACGCGGGGGGTCTCCCAGAATGTATGACGTCTGGCCTGACTCGTGTGAAACCCCGCGGAAAGCCTTGGGAAATGCCATACAGTGTTCTCCGCGAGTACCTTCAGAAGAGGGCACACCATTTCCCTCTCTCTCTGCTCGCTACCTGTGACTGTGACTACGGTACTTGTACTGAAGACTGCTCGACTCCCGGTAGAGCTGTAGGAAACCTCACTATGGATATATATACCTGCCCGTTCGCATGCCCGTTCACACCTCTCTCGCAGAGTATTTCTGCGTTATGCCGGACACCATCACCAACGCAAAGAGATAACAAAATATACTTCTCGCTGTTGCTATTATTGCTAGCTATTGCTATTATTGCTAGTGTCGTTAGGAATCCTTAAGCTTGTAAAGCTGATGTCTGTGGGGCTTACGAATACGCTCACTCTCCCACAGGATATCCGTTCTCGTTCAGACCTTATTACTACCCTTTGGACAAACAGTGCCCGGGTACAGAGGTCCACACTGGTGTTGGATCGTTAACCCTTCTCTATCCTTCCATCTATTTCTCACCGTATGATACTCCACTTTCCTTCCCTTTGTTGCTTACTCCCCAACTCACTAGCTCATGATACTCTCTACTTCACCTCCTCCTATCCCTGTCGGTTTGTAGCAGGCAACTCGGTATAAATGGCGAAGTATCGAAGCTCGTGCCAACGTCCTCGCAGGGGTTCCGTGCCGAGTAAAGGGGATATCTAGATAAAGTAGTAGGAATGGGACCATGCAGGGTGGTTAGCTTGTATGATTTCGATCTGTTGACGGAGTTTAGGTTTCTGCTAGCCTAGTGTGTTGTTTATATTCAAGTTATGGGCGAGTTGGGTCCCGGCCTGGTGAGAGTTAGGCGTAGGGGTGTACTGGTACTCCTTACAGTTATAACTGATAGAGTGCGGTATGAATTGTAGTGGTTTCGCATATGGGGGCGGGGAACAAATAGACCTAGAATTGCAATATATGCACATAAGATAGAACCCACCCGCTAGTTCTGTCCCGGATTCCTGGTCTTTTTCATCAAGCACTTTCAACCTCCCCTCATTTCAAAAAGCAGCCTGCCAGATGTTGGACCATCCATCATAGCTGAAAACCATCGAGAATTCCTTATATGATACTGTAAAGCTGACAACCGGGGAAACCCAAATTTCGAGGAAAGGTTGGCTGCCACAGATGAGTGCCCTTAATGAAAGGGGGAGGGAGATGGGTTTGGACTATCGTGGTGAGATACGGTAGTGAAATGAAGAAGTGATTGCTTTTGTGGTATTAACCGACCGTGTCATTTCTCCTCAGGATAAAAAGGCGACAATAATTGGGCATTTTTCAGGTATCTTGTGGATTGATATCACCCTATCATACTCGACAGCACTTTCTTCGTTTTCTAGAAAAGGTGCTTCACGGTATCGCACTCGGAAAGAGTTCGGGTAAAAGTCGGGGAAGCTAATCGACTCGTGAGACCCCACTTTAAAATCAAGCACAATGCCCTGAACAGGGTTAGACTACCGGTATCGACAAGTCGGGGATATTGAGCACTCCTCCGTCACACACCTACCGTACTCGTACAGTACGAGTATTATCCATGTTGATCTGCCTGGCTAAAGGGCCATTGGACCTGCATGTGAAATCAATGACCTGCTTCTAAACCACGTGCCGTGCAACATCTTTCAGCTACCCATATTCCTGTTGTGAATATTTGTTTGAAGACGTGGAGATCTGGCTATTGGCAGTTGGTGGTGGTCTGTGTCTATGATTTATCCTCTCTCTTGATGATAACTTTTTTCCTCCAACCCGCCAAACATGATACCCAAACAATATATCATAGTCCCGTCCTCTTCAGGCTCCCAGGTTCACTTCCCTCGTGGACAATACAAAATTCCCGGAGGGAGGCCAAGCTCAGTGAGGACGGGGGGGTAGAGGGTTGATGACGGAGGGGGAACCATTGCCTGGCCCAGGGGGTCAGGCTTAGATCCCGGTCCGCCCTCACCTCGCTTGCCCTGCCTTGCCCTCCTTGCAGACATGTGGCAGCCTTGAAGAAGGGCGTAGCGTGGAGACACGTGAACCCTTTTTGGCCTGCAGTCGTTGACAACATTTTGAAAATGCATGGTGTGGTAGCGTATGGAGAATATTCTTTTTTGGCCTCGATCAACCTAGCTAATATGTCGAATTTCTGGCACGATAGGCGTCAGGCGTGCCTAAACAAGGTGTCTTGGGGAGTTATGGGACATGAGAATCATCACACTCAGAAAAATCACACTTATCGGTGTACGAGTATCCGACAATATCCGGCCGTCCACCGCAGCCATACATGAACCCTTTGGGTTCCTTCCCCCTACATAGCCTAATACACAATTTCCCTTGTCATTGACATTCGTACTCCCCGTACCTCTCTCCAAACATGGAAGAGCGTGTGGACACCAAGCTGTTTTTGATGTGTGGCATTTCTTGAGTGGGGTTATACTCCCTCATGTCGACATTGTTGGCTCCCTTATTGCGCAGCCTCCGGCCCTCCCTCACTCGCTGAAGGGTATAGAGCACCGCAATAACAAAGAGCCAAAGTAAACTCTACAGTACAGCTAACTTTGTAAAACGGGTTAATCCTGTGATAGTGCCCCCCCGAGAAGGCAGTATGTGCGAACAGGCCCACTAGCACTGTACGAGTACACGTGCCCCCCGAGCAACCTCACTCCCATCGGATCGAGGGTCCCGACACCAGATTATATCCCACGCTACTGTAAATAGAGTTATCATTTCCCTTGTCCGTCTATCCATCCCACATCCTTTCTTCCTCTCAAGAAAGTAGCAACTTATACCACCACTCAAATCGCCAACAGATACCCATTTCACCCATCCCATTGAGAATATGTGGAGGCCAATGACCCCGGGTGTTAACCGCCATGTATGATATGATACATATCAACAAGTGATGCTAGCGCCATATTATACCTCGAGGGCCACCGTCAGCGGCTACACAAAGGTATCTTGTGGAATGCCGGCGTATAAAAATCGAAAAGAAAACCCTCAGTGCAGGGCAAGTGAAGCGCTCCTCAGAATTTTGGGGGATGTCGCGAGATTTTGATTATTGGGGGATAAGGTATGTTGACCTCGGCAGCTACCTTCCTGCTCTGACTCTATCGTGCCCGGTTCATCTGGGAAGTGATTAATTTTTCCTAAGATATCAAGACTTGTGCTTTATGCTATTAGGAAGTTGCCTTTTTTTTTCTCTTTTTCTCTTCTCCCCCCCTCGTTGCGCTGGGTGGTGATTATTCAGCAATGATAACCCACGATGCGTGACGGTAGTTTGGCATTGCGATGGGGAAGTGATACCTAGAAGGCCAGAGATGGAGTGAGTATGCGTCAGATGGATTTCGCTGGGTTACGGGGCGCAGATTGAGGATCTGGCGCGCGTGTGTGCCAATAAGTGCACTATATGGTAGTACTTCCGAAAGAGCGCTGTACCGCATGTAGTCCTTCCACCTCGCGGTTAACTCCCTCGGGGAGCCGGGGCAGACTTGCTGAAGTTCTATTTTTGTTGCGGAGATGTCCCTCGAGTGATGATTTGTGTAAATGGCTACGGTATTTAATGATCATAATGTTAAAGCACAAGGTACCGGTACAATACAATCTAAAACTTCTAGAAATAGGATAAGTAAACAGATGAATAAGGAGGGAGAGGAAAGGGAGGAATAAAAACAAAAAAGCAACTCCTCATATTCACGTCTAGCTTCGTTCCACAGTATACACTTCTCTTCCGTTGGTCTGATGACTGCCTCTCAAGTTAAGCCTCCCCACCCTTCCCTTTAGACCAACTATACCTCCCTCCCCCTCGTCTCCCCCTCCCCCTCATTGCCACCATCCGCCTCACCACCTTCAGCTTCGACAAACCCACTCTTCTTCCTAACAGCGCGATCAACCGCCCCCCGTCTAAGCGGGGGCATAGAACTTGCCCTGCTCTCCCTGAAATCCTCCACATCTCTATACAACCCCCTCTCGCGGATGTACTCAATCACGACATTCGGCAAAAGATACTGCACGCTCATCCCCTGCCTAAGAAATTGCCTGATGCGTGTGGAGCTGATATCATTGGCAATCAACTGGCGAACAACATGTATGTTCTCCATCCAGTTCTTTCCCATGGCATCGCTCCACTCCTTCAGCGGGGCGAGGGCGTCGGAAACGTCGCTGCCGGATCGCTCAATTATGAAGAGACCGTGAGTGGTGAGGATGTGGTTGAGGTCAGACTGCGACCAAACACCCGGTTGCGACATTGTCTGTAGGAGGTCGGATCCCCCGAGGAGCATTACTCGGGCGGGTTTACGTAGAGTGGTAGTGGTAGGGGGCACAGCTAGGTGGTTGGTGGATAGGGGTGGGGGTGTAGGGTAGGGAATGCCGCCGAGGTTGTGGTTTATTTCGTGAGAGATGTGGTCGAGGACTACCGCTGTGGGTTGGTACTCTGGTTGTACGGCTTCCCAAGGGTCAACCATTAGCCAGTCAGAGGTCTCGTCGCAAGCTAGTTCGCACATTCGTACTCTGGTCAATTCCCCTCCATTAGCGAACATTCCTGCCAGAAGGATGGAGGAGCGGCGCTCACCGATGAGCCGCACTCGCCAAACCAGCCTTATTATATCGATCACTGACAGGACTCAAGTACCCGCCCACAACCTCAAACTCGTTCATCCCTTGCTTGACGTGATCCACCGCCATCTCGAACATACGCAAATGCATGTGCGTTATTGGCGAGAAGCTCCCGCACGCTACCAGGACCAAGGGCGTCTTGGTTCTGTCTTGTAGCGCTCGTAATCGATGCGACGGGAACGTGTATTCCGAGGATGAAGGGTTTGGGGTAGAGACGTTGGAGGAGGAGACCATCGTTTTCCCGCGAAAGGAGGGGGGGGGAAGAATCGTACAATAATGGAATTAGGAAAGAGTTAGAGATCTGGTATTTTTACTATTATTAACTTATGTAGAGACTCGGGGTAAGGGCGTTGGGTTGGGGGGAGAGCGACACCAGCAGATCGAGGGGCGATGACGATGTTTACTTCGTTTTGAGGGTTTACGATCATCCCGGTAGTATACTTGTGCTTCCAGACGGTACCGTAGGTACTGTATACCAGCGTAGTTTTGCGGGGCGGCCTGGGGAATTTGTTTATCAGAGTATTATTCGTACCAGCGCTCATCCTGGAAGCAAACTTTCACGGAGGTGGAGAAGAATTGCGCCCGTTTGCAGTATAGTATTCAATATAATTTATTTATCCTTGTATAGTAGACTACCGGTATCCTATTGCTATTACCAAGGGGGTGCAACCTGCATTAGCAAAACTGCGAAAGTTGTGATGCTCTTCCTTATCGATCAACATAAATCCACCTGGCTTTTTCCCTTTCACCTCGTCCTTCATCACCCTCCCTCTTTCACCTCTTTGTTTTCTCCTCGCTCTCCCTCAAAGCCCCTAGCACCCATCTCCCACCCGTGCAGCTGGCAACAGCTTAACCTATAAAATCGTATCTCCTCGGAGCCGTACGAGTACAGCACAGTGCGGTATTCTAATCTGATCGACAACGGCCCGTGTCAAATTATGTGCTTGAATATGATACCTTACCGTACCGGTCCTCGAGCACGGTACTTTCGTAATGCCATGTTAAGCCCTGTCTAATCGTCCTCCATACCGCACCATATCACATCGAACCCTTCTCCCATACCGGTACTCGAGTACTCGTACACACACATGGCTTCTTTTCTTTTTCGGTCGCTTCCTGGGTACCTGGTTCGGATATGTCCGACGGGGGAAGGAAAGGCAGGAAGGTATCACAGGGAAGAATGAAAGGAGGGAAGGTTTGAAGCAGGGCAGCGCAGGTCGGAACATCAAGGGAGGAACGAGAATTGAAAAGAAAGGAAAAGAAGGATGTGTTTTAAAAAGCAAATATTCACATTCTACAAGTAACCTCGAATTGAATTGTTGAAATTCACTTCACTCTCCAAGGCGGAGTTCTTCACTACGGTATGCGACACGATATTCCCACCGGCGTATAATTTATACACTCTGTGCCATGGTACAGTGCCAGTACCAATAGTTAGGCGGTTACTGTATTGGTAGTCCAACCAACCAATCACACACATCTGCAAGGACCACAGAACTCAGCAACCTTCCGCAATAGCCCTACCGGTATGCCTTCCTCAGTTGTAACACAACAATCGCAGATAAATTACCTAAACTTTTTTTCAATCAGAAATGCACGAAAGGCGTGCTTGCGTGTGGTAGGCAGGCTCCCCCTCTCTCCCTCCAGTAGGGGGGGGGGGGTACAGTAGTGCTTCTATATGATAGTTCAGCTGTATTCTAGGATTGGGTCAAGAAAATGCACATTCCTGGATAGATTGCTTACTTTGCCGCACTCTTTTTCGCCATTCCATTAGATTTTTAACTTCCTTTGTACTGTGTTCTAGCTGTTTTGGTGCCGAGAGCGTATGAAAGCTACTTGTGTGCGGTGCGAATTGGACGATGTGAAAAGAGCTGACGGGGCGGTTGTGGCTCAGTGGGGCGGCCCAGTAAGGAGCAACAATATAAATTGAGTCAAGTCCAAGTTATATTCTGATTAGTTCTTTGCAGGGAAAGGGAGAGGGAAAATAACGGTGAAATCAACCCCTTTCATCCATCAGGACATCGAACCTTCAGTTTAGGTGTGTTGAGCCGAGCATCATATCATACAGAGTAGTTACAGTATCGATATCGTGTTGTGCAAAACACTGTGTCGTGCTCAAGACCTCTGAAGCCCTACCGGTAGCTATCATCCATCCCACTTACTGCATCGTAGAGTAGAGGACCGCCTCTACCCCCGTCTCTGCCTTCCCGATCCCCTTGCCTTTCTTCCTATCATACCTTTTCTCTTTCCTGTTTTGCCCTCTTTTGTTTCTTTTTCTTTCTTCACTTTTCCGCAAGTACAGCGGAAAAAAAAAAAAAAAAAAAAAGCAAACCAAGGATTTTCTTTTCTTCTTTCACAAAACATAAACCTCAGCTTTTACCACTCGAGATTCAATGGCTACTCCTACAATCCCTCGCCGGTCCTTGGACGGTCGTAATCACCTCACTCAAGTTGTGAGTTTTTTTTCCCCACCCATCCGTCTACTTGTCCCCAATTCGTTCATTTAAAACCTTCATGAGCAAACAAACAATCTAACGACCATTCTAACACCAATTCTTCACCTCTAGACCAGCCACGGTTAGTAGTTGGCAGTTAGCAATCGAATACCCCCCCTTCCTCTTACGGAATCTACTGGACGAGAAAAAGGAGAAGAAAAGTATTAATTGTGATTTTTTTTCCTTCTCTTAAAGGACGCGGAGGAGCCGGAAACATCGGCGTAGACGAACATCCCCACGAAGCATCCCCTGAAGACATCCGCATCCCGACCTTGAAAAGCCCAGTATATACCACCGGCCGCGGCGGAACAGTAAAAATCTCTCTCTGTCCCTATCTATCTCCCTACAAAGCTAACTTCTTACCTATGACAACCAGGGCAACATGGCCGTTAACGACCCCGCCCATCCAGAACTCGCACGCGCAGCACAAGACGTCGAAGAACCTAGGCGTCCTAGTAGCTCTGACTCCTTCCATGGCGGTCGCGGAGTACGCTCCTCCCTCCCTCCCTCCCTCTCTGCACCACCTGGAGGCGTTGAAGCTGACTGTGATATCTTGCATGGTGAATAGGGTGCAGGTAACATCGTCCACCCTACCGATTCAGACCTCGTGAAGCTCCGCCTTGAAGAGGAGGAGCGACAGCGCCTTGCGGCCGAGATGGCAAAACCGAGGCCCATCGATCATACTAAGATTGACTATAGAGGCTGGGCAGATAAAGGGAAGGACTACTTGCGAAGGGTTGCGAAGAAGGGGGGAATGTAAACAGACAGAATACGGTGTTATACCTGGGGATTTGTTGGGAGATATTGTTATGGATGGGATGGTGGCAGTTCCCACACGTCATGATATCTACAGTACTTGCGTTGTTATCATTCACGCATATAGACACCGCTTGGGATAAAACAAAACTCTTTCTGTCTCTCTTTTCTTCGTTTCTACTTTTCACTTTCCTCTTGTTGATCATCCATGCCGGTATTCGCAGGCCAGTAGGAGGATCAGGGGCCTATCTTCACTTTGTTTTTTTTTCTCAATTAGCGTTTTTCTTTTTCTTTTCATGCTTTCTTGTTTCCTGCCTCTCCCCTCACTACTATTTCGCTTTGATAGCTCATCCACGGACGTCGATTGGAGTTGCATCATGACTTACTACATTATAACCGGGTGCGGGATAATTGTTTGCCGGTAGCTTGGATGGGGTTTTCGTGAGTGAGTGAGTGGATGAACCGATAGGACAAGGAAAGGGAGGAGTCGGGGTCAGGCCGGGGGTGGTGAATGGCGAGGCAGGGTAGGGTTTGGTTCCGGCCCGGCGGCACCTGTATCATACCAGCAAAACTAAAACCTTTGTTTGGTTCGGTCGGTAGGTTATTGCCAAGTTAGGTAAAGGGCGGGTGAAGTAAAAGCGGGTGTCGAGCTCGTGCTCGTGAGCCGTCTCCTTTGGCCGATCTGAAACAGTAAAATTTGTTGCCCAACACGTTAAGCCTGTTTTGGTACGGTCTAAGTTCTGTGAATATTTAAGCTGACTCTACGCGCTGAGTCATTTGAGCGCCAAAAGGACAGATAAATCCGGTACTTGGACTAGTACGGACTGGTAAATTTACATACAGCTAACTACTCCCCAATCTGGCATTAGCACGCCTATCTACGGATAAAATTTATTTGATTGACATGAATTTGACTGTTTCAGAGAGAGAAATGGCGTACTTAGGGTACATCTGGCATACAAAATACGGTAGCGGTATCATATGATACCCACAAAAGAGAGTCGAACAAAGGGAAAAAATAGTACCGGTACTTGTACAAGTACCATTCCAACCTAGTGCGCTGCGGATTGGCTGCCTATTCACCACTAGTATCGTAATAACCCCTCATGGAAGCTGGAAATGCCCGCATCCCGCCGGCCCATTGTAACCGGACAGTCCGACAGGCCCGGGGGTACGGATTACACAAGGTTAACCATGAGCAAGCTCCAATTTACACTGTTCCCTTTTTTTGAGAAACATCGGAAGTGATAGTAGAGATGACGGTAATGATAAAGGGGCTGTGCGAAGAAAAGGAAGAAAATAGGATTAGATAAAATCTAATGTCGCCTGACCGGAAGTTGTGATAGTATTTCATATGACCGAGTGAGCACGGATGACCAGTATTTGATTCGTGCTTGAGCGCTTGTGAGGATGAGGATCCTTCACAAGGCGAAGACCGGAGATGCAGTAGTTGAGCTGCTGTATCACACGTAGCAATTTTCTCTGCCATTGTCTGACTAGAGCCACCCACTCAGTTACTGAACGAAAGACAGGGATTTTGCCCAGCCCGGTCCAGAAACACCGTGATCACCGTGCGCGTTCCGGGCAGCCCAGGAAAACGCTGTTCGACCATTACTGTCTCTCGAGCTGGGGTTGACGTCGGCATGTTCTAGTAGCATCTTCACCACTTTCTTGCGCCTAAGCATAGCCGTCTATTGAGGGGCGTTTCGCCCTTGTCGTGTATCAGGTCCAAATTGACACTAGCCCCAAGAGCGTCACCGCTGCCATGGTTATGAACCCTTCCCCCATAACCCGGGAGAGCGATGTTCAACCGTCATGGTCTGTTAGGCTGAGGACGATATCAGGTTGGTTGAGGAGCATCTTCACTAGGCTTTCGTTCGTTGCTCTGGCAGCCCAATAGAGCACTGTCCGGCGCATGGTGTCTATCGGGGATATGTTAACATCAGTTCGGCGGAGCAACATCTTCACGACTTCCTTCGTCACGGTTCCAGCCGCCCAGAAGAGCGGGTGTTCGGCCCACGTTATCTGACCAATCAGGTTCGACATCTGGTTGGTCCGTCCAGAAGTGTCTTCGCCACCGCTTCCTTAGGGTAGCTGAGCTGAGTAATGTGTTGCCGAATATGTCTACCGGGTTGGATTGACATCAGCGTAACCCAGGAGCATTTTCAACACTCCTTTGCAGCCGCAATTGGCGGCCCAGGAGAGCGCTGTCCGGCCCAAGGTGTCTGCCAAGGCGAGGGTCAACATCAGCCCGATTCAATTACATCTTCACTACTTCTTCGTAGCCATACATAGCAGCCCCAGCGAGGGGTGCCAGGCACGCCCGGAAAGCTTCGGCGGCTGCTTCCTCGGGGATCTCCGGTAGGTCACCATAAGTCTTCCCCGCTCCAGGGCTTCCACGACGGAACAGCGCCTTTTCAACCGAGTCCCCGCTTTCACTGTCTCGCAGTTCTAGAGGTTCGGCGGTCTCCAAAACCCATCCCCCACACCTCCGAACCGCCCTGGCGTCTCTTCCAAGCTTCCGGCTGTGATATCCACACCAGAATCTGCGGTTCTTCCCTGATAAATATCTTTGCTTTGCCTTTTTGTTTCTCCCGTGACGGTAATGCTGTGGCTATTGACGGGGATGTTAAAACTGTTGCTACTACCACTCTGGCTCAAGCCCCCGCTCCATATTTCCTGGCCTCTCCGGGTGGGGGGATTTCAGAGAGATTCATCGAAAAGTCACCTTGAAATCGATAGAGATTGGGTGATAGGGGAGTTGACAAAGTCTCCACCAACACCAACTTGACCAACTGGGTCTTAGCAGTAGTTGTGGGAACGGTACGGTGCAGTATCACACCTAGGAAGAGAGAGAAAAGGTATCAGGATGCGCATACGGGAAGTTTAGGGATCTTTGCCTCGGGGGGCTGTTACAAGACATGCAAAAAACTTTTGCTAAGTCACCCGGAAACTTACTTCCATCCCAGGAAGGATGGTTTGAGGGATTGCAATAGTGATGGGTGATGGGCTGTGATTGGAGCACATCGTATGATACGAGTATGCCCGACACCCTCCACTCTTGTAACGGCTGGTATGATGTCATACAAAATCCACAACAAATAAATGTTAAGCTAACTACAGTCGAGTGCACGGCCACCATGAACCACAGTGCTACGATAGGTTTCCAAGCTGACACTTGGGCCTGATCTTCAAATCACAGGCATGAAGGCTCAATCCCCCACCACGTAGAATATTATACCCACGGGTGCGATGAAACAAACCCACAAACCCAATAACACTACAGAGCCCACGAAACTACACATGACCTACCCAACAAATCACTTCATGCTTGATAAAATTGCCGCAGCAAACTGCAAACGACTGTGGGAAAAAAAGAGGGTGGGGGGGGAAATCCCTCCATCGATACCTTCCCACCCATGAGACGACGCAACGCTCCATTGAAAGCTGGCACATCCGCTTTACAAAAGCCGTCCATGGGTGGTGTAATTTGTCTAAAACTCTATTAGCCCCACTCTCTTCCTCTCCTCTCGGGATTGTCCTAGCCGTACGACCTCACAAGCAAATCTATCAGAATAGAGCGTTAGTAACTGGGCCATCAGTCTACCTAACCAAATATCCTACAAACGCCCCCATGAGTGAGTGACCAGGTATATAGCCGGGACTCCCGATCCAATGCCAGATGAGCACCATCTAAATCCAATGCGCTGTTGGATGCGCAGACCGGGTGATTGCTTAGGATCTGATGGGCCAAGTGATACAGGTGCGATTGTGGATGGAGTTGTATGATTTGTGTACGAAGTGCCGCTCGAGGATTACTGCTGCGGCTTGCCTCGCGGTGGTGTGCTCATACTGTGGTTATCATATGATTCACCGACGGATAGTGCACGTTATTGTAAGGATGCCACTGCTCTCATCCTTCCATCGGGTCAGGTAAAGAATAATTTACTGCCCAACCATTACACCTGCATCCATATTCCTCACGCAAGGTCGTATGATTGACAAACCCAACTTAGGAATGGACAATCTAAATATCTGGTAGACTACAATAAAAATGATAACATACATGACGTGACATCACTATAGTACATTTCTCCATCAATATCCTGCCGCCACCTCCAGCCATTCACTATTCACCAATAGTCCCAAGCGAGCAAAGGAAAAAAAGAATCACACAAATGACAAGTGTAACCTTATCCTACAGAACGAACGTTTCACGACCACCACCAATGTTCAGTGGGGGATGCAAGAGCAATCCGAAACGCCCCTCCTTCCGATGCATTCTCCAGATCTGCACAGGAAAGGAAAGCAAGGAAAATTAAGAAAAAGTAGGAAAGAAAAAAAATTAAATGAGAAAAGAATAGAACGTGGAGCCTGCAGGGAGATCTCAAAGCGTCTTATATTCCATCCACTCCGTAACCGGAACATCAAATCTAAACCCTCTACGCACCCACCAATCTCTCGCCTCCTTTCCGCCACCGATGGCGTCCTCAAGCGCAGCTTCTATATCGCATACGCAATATTCGACTCTAAGGCCAGAACTGCTCCACCATTGAAGGACATCAGGACGGTTGAACTTTGTGGCATCAACAAGAACCTCTTTGTCGTAAACTAGTCTGAGGCCGCTCTTCTTCCACCATTCTAGGACTTCGACTTCACCTCGGTAGGAAGCTCCCTTGAGCGCGTGAAGGTAGTTTAGCGTGAGACCGCTGTTTTTCCACCATTCAAGAACAGCGAGGTGGCCAAAAGAGGAGGCGACGTCCATTACTAGACCGTAGCGGAGAGGAAGGCCTGAAGATTTCCACCATTGGAGAACGTGGATGTGACCTTCCCTTGATGCATCGTTAAGGGGTTCCTCATCATATTCTCTCGGAAACGAGTTGGGGAGGTCAGGGGATGAGGCTTCGAGCCACCAGGTGAGGACCTTTGGCTGGCCGTAGTGAGATGCGAGAGTAGGAATTTTGAGGGACGGCTCGGAGTAGACTCTTAGAAAGTCGTGGCGGTAGTTTGTCCAGAAAAAGGTGAGGAGATCAGTGTATGCGAAGCGTAACATACATTTTGCCCCAAACTTTGTAAACTTCTCAGCCGGGTAGACCTCTAGAAAGCGGGTGACGTGTTCCACCGACCCAGAGAGAATTGTATAATCCAATCTCCTCCCGTTCACAGCCCAATCAACGCTTCGCCGAAGCTTCGTACGGATTCCTAATGCAGTAGACAATTCCCAATCGTTCAATGTTTCGAATATATCCGCCCACAGCTCGGGCGGGAGCACAGGAAGATTAGTATTTCGTGGAGAAGGGGTATCAATGTGCAGCGAGATATTGCTAGGCTTGTGGGCGTCCATATCAACGTCACGATCGCCATTGCTACTGTTATCAGTATTGTTGATCTGGTTAGGGTGTTCGGAGAAGGAGGATGAGGTCGAGAGCGGGGGTGTAAAGCGGGGGGTATGGTGTCGTTGTAAAGAGAGGTCAGTGCGGTGGGATAGCTCGTGCACTGCTAGTCTGAATGCGAGCTCGACGAGTTCGCCGCATGTTGGAAGGGAGCGTAGCGAGAGGAGGAGACAGAGTTCGTCCCGAGACATACGGCGATAAGCCGCTGCGATCGTTTCCTGCTCGGCCACTCGCCGAGCTTTAGTGTCTGGCCACATTCACGCAAAACGATGGGTAGGTGGAAGGGGGGACAGAGTGGGGATCGAGTTACTCGTGAAGGTGGATGGCAATGGGGGTAGTAGGAAAAGTCACTTTTATGCAGGGTGCAAGAGGAAACAAAGTGATAGAAGAAGGGTAAGTAGAAAGATACCCACATGGAGATCGTGTTCGCCCGTGAGGGCATGACCAAACCCATCATCCTCACCTCCAAACTTTCTAGCACCTACATGGCACCGTTCCCCGCTGTTACCCATGGAAAACATCATATCCACCACCATCTCAGCAAGCGGGGAAGCTAAACGACCGATCAAAGAATGGAAAAAGAGGTATCAATTTATAGTCGTTGAAGAAAATGTGTCGGGCGAGGAGAGGGAGAAGAAGGGTGAAGGCCAAGGACGAAGGAAGGGTGAAAGGAACCCTATCAGACGAATGTCAGACAAAAAGTCTTGGATTACCGGTACAGGTATCAGCACATTTGGGTAAGAGCACCCACAGATTTTTTTCCCGCTCCTTAGGTGGGGGAAAGCTGGCAATACCGGTAGAGTCTAGTAAGTTTCATAACATCCGCTTCGCACAAAGTTCAGCTCACCGATTCCCTATGATTTCACGGCGCCACAAAGCTAGACGATATACTATGGTGCTGGTAGGTGGGAACGCTCTGTAAAGAGTTTAGGGAGGCTACTCATCCGGGCCGTTATACCCACCTAGAAAAAAAGTCCCTGCCCTTCGAATGCTTCTCAGAAGACAACAAAGGGTCCTGAAGTAAATATTCAAAGTGGAATATAAAGTCAAAGGCCTAGGCTATCTATCAAAGTAGGGTTGGAAAAAAAAAGGGTGCAGTTTTCATGCCATGGGAAGGAAGAAAGGGAGGTCGAATGTGTTTTTTTTGCAGCGCGAATGGGGGGGATCTTTGGTTGCTGCCGGTATGATAAATCCTGTAGCAAGGTGGGGCTGGGACTTGGAAACCATTGCACTTTCGTAGCCTTAGCGACGCGTGCCGAACCAGCTATCATCTTATAGATCTACTAGTGTACTCATAAAGTATCCGGACACTTGGCACCAAGACAGGCGTCCAGAGTGCCAAGGTGTCTGGATACTTTATGAATCGGCTAGTACAGGAGTCTACTCATCAGATAAGAAATCTTGCTCTGTATTCTCTTGGTAAAGGAAAATATAAAAGAAATAATATAAGAACTGGTTTCGTGGATCAAAATTTATTTCCTATTTGTGAAGACCTCAACACTAAAGACTGTTTTTTATCATTAAATTTTTTCATGTCTGGTCCCTCACCAAAGGGGGGAAACTAGGCTATCACTTCTCATCCTTCTTAATGTCTACCCTCTTGAGGTCTTCTCACTTCTTGCAACATCTTACAATGTTGGCTTTCATTTGTACCCTCAGGCTGCTTTTACTAGAGTCTCTCTTAGCATCAACAAGGTCAGGTTTTCTTATTCTTAAAACTAATAGTTGGGAATACAGTTTGCAGTACATGATTAATCAAAAGCCTTCCATCCTCTAGTAAGACTCTCTCCTCCTCTGTATCAATTTCTTTCATAACTGTTTCTAATATCTCTTATTTAAATTAGTAATTTGTATAAAAATTAGAGATTTTTAAAGCTTCTAACTTCGTAAGATTCTTGAATCATAAGAGTGAACTTGTACTAAGACTATGCTTCTACTTCAGGATAAGTCTTGATTTAAGTACAAGTATACTTCCAGAATTTATACTAATATCTAAGATTTTAGATATACTTGTAATTTGCTAACGTTTGCAAACAAAACTGCTATTACATATGGGCAAAAAATAGTCTGAAGCTGTAATATTTTAGTGTTATATAATAGCTGGTACATTTGCAAACATTAGAAGATTACGAGTACACACACTCCACTACTCCAAATGGTGAAAACTAAGGGAATTTGTCTGGTACTAGGAGTGATCTGGAACAACAGATCAGGCTTGTTGTTAGGTGGAGATATTCAATGTAGACTCAGAATCAGCTGAGTCAATTGAGATTCGTTTTGTAGAGGGAAATTTGTCTAAGAAGGCTCAAAGGGTTACTTATTTTATTTATAACTACTAAGAGTATGGTAAAGTAGAATAGAATTGTAAAGACAATATTATATTGTTAAGGTCTCATCTCTTTTACTTGATGATATCTAAAAGCTAGGGAGGCACTTTGATATTTATATTCTGTGTCTGAGTGTTCACGGACTACATCTATCTCTAATATAAATTATGTACCTCATTAACTATAACTCGCAATGTTAGGTATTCTTCTGAAGTGCAAACAATAGGAAAACCTGAAAACAATCACATCCTCTTTGGTAATTACAATTTTGCCAATTGGGAACTGTATTATTTTCAATAGTAATTATTCAATTTTCAGAGTCATTAAACTTATAACCTTGTTCTCAAGTCGAACTGTGTTAGCCCCAATTTTTATTCTCTATTAATGAAATAATCAGTTACATCTGCGAATTGTATTTGCAGAAGTAGTTGTAGATGTAACCTTCCTAGGTGCCAACTTTAAACTTTCATAACTCCTAATCCAACTAAGAGATATTCTCCATATAACTTCCAATTAATTTGTGGGAAGTCAGTCAGCAACTCTTGATTACTTTAGGTAATAGTGCTTTAGTTACTGTTTGGTATTAGTGATTATTTACTTAACTAAACTACAACCCTGGACCTAGTTATAATACTCTACAAAGTCTATTAGCTTCTTTGATAGTATTCCTTAGGGTTCTGGACTCTTCTAATTATTGTAAGGTGGATGAGAATATGTTGGCTTCTTATAGAGATCCTTTAATATTCAATATTATTTCTTTACGCAAAAACGTCATGTTACTTACTGCTTATACCGAAGATATTGTATCTTTGAAGCTTAGTAACTCTTTAGGTAGTTAACAGATTTACTCCGTTCCACTTCTCAGACCTAACAGAACGTTCCCTTACATATACCCTATGACTGTATCCAGTTGGACAGACGGCTATGATGCATATAGTATTATTCTTACATCTTCAAATTTGTAGCATTATAGTCACTGGACACCATTAAGATAGATATGTATAATGATATGAGGATATTATAAGAGGGTCAGAGGGGAATGTTAGAGACCAGAGATTCTGATTCCAAGTGGGGTTACCCTACTTAGGGTAGTTCCTAGGTATCAGATCCTGGTACTCCTACTATTTTGGAAAAAAAAAAAAGTACAGAATTCCTCCAGGTTTTATAGAAAACAGCAAAGTATTCAGTTCTGAATAAAATAATATTGCCTGAGATAAGTATATACTCTACTCCTATTATCACTTATCATGTTAAACCAAATACCTCACAGTCCCATCTGAAACTCAGGTTAATTCTGAATTACTTTACACTAAAACCTCACCTGTTGTTCTGAAATACTCACTATAAGGGAGAAATTTATCATATTTGCTAGTTTAAGATAGCAGAGAGTAAGTGTATCTGCTCTTTTGATTTGAGAATCTCAAAACATTGTATAGGAAAGCAAGTTTTTTATTCTTTTTTACTTACCATTACAATATTCTTAAAGGAATAGTTTACTGATACATTTAGGGGTTGGTATTAGAAATACCAGAATCTGATACTTAGGAACTACCTTAAGTAGGGTAATCCTACTTGGAATTGGAATCTCTGGTCTCCAACGCCCTCCTCCAGTCCCCTTACACGACCTGCATGTCATTATACATATATATATTAGTTATGTCCTGTAAATATAATGCTACAGAATTGAAGATATAAGACTAACATCATATATGTTGCTGCTGTCCATCCAACTGGATGCTGTTTGCAGGGTATATAAGAGGAGACTATCAGTTAAGTCTTGGAAGTGGAACAGAGTAAATCCATCAACTACCTAGAGATATACTAGGCTTTAAAGATGTGATATCTTTGATAAGAACTATAGGTAATAGGATCTTTTCATACAAAGATATGGTATCAAATGTTGAAGGATCTCTATGAGAGACTAAGACATTAACACTCATCCTATAATAAATAGAAGAGTCCAGAACTCTGAGAAACACTACCACAAAGGTCAATAGACTTTACTGAGTGTTACAATTAGACTTAAGAGTGTGTTGAAGTTGTGGGAATAATTCCTAATATTAGAACAACAATCAAAACTCTATTACCGAAAGCAATCAAGAGTTACCGACCATGGAATTATCTGCAAATCCAGTAGAATGTCTTCCTGCAAATTAGAGAGCAGTCATCTGGAAGATATCTGTCAGTTAGATCCAAAGTTATAGAAGTTAAAAGTCAGATGACCTAGAAAGATTGAAATTGCAACTACCTCTACAGATACAACCTGTAGATGAAACTGATCATTTTATCAATAAGGGAGACTATTAGAACCAACTCAGTTCAACTTGAGAACTAGGTTATAAGTCTAATAACTCTAAAGATCAGATAATTACTATTAGAAACAGTATAGTTCATGGTTAGCAATATTATAATTACTGAAGAGGGTGTGGTGGTGTTCAGAGTTTCTAAGTATTCGCATCTTTGAAGAATACTCGACATTGTAAGTTACAATCAGAGAGATACATAGTTTGTATTATAAATAGATGTAGTCTGTGAACACTCAGACACAAAATATAAATATCGAAGTGTTTCCCCAGCTTTTAGACACCATCAAGCAACAGAGAAGAGACTTTAACAATATAATATTGTTTTTACAATTCTATTCTACTTTACCTACTTCTCTTTATACTTAGTAGTCATAAACAAAATGAGTATACATTTCGAGCCTTCCTAGATAATTTCCATGTAAAGAAATAAATCTTGGTTGGCATAAACAACTCTGAGTCTTTACAGGTTGTCTTTGCCTAACAGTTGGACTATCCCAGTATATCTACCCAACATTATACTTAGTGTGATATTGTTTGCTTGAAGAGTATTGAGAATCTTGTCAGTTTTGTGTCCCCCAAAATGATCATAACAAGGAGCATTGGCTAACAATTAAGTATATGAAGAAGCTGCTATTCAAGCCACACTACCATATTAGTAGAGTTAGCATATGT